CCGCGGGCACTGTGTTGGTGACCACTGCTTTAAAGGCATCAAAATTCAGTAGCTCTGAAGAGAAAAGCACCAATAATGAAATGTACTTAGGCTAAATGAGTTTAATACTTCACTCTTCTATACCCTTTCCATCCATAGATCTCAAATCAACAAAATACTAACACCACACTTGATGGGGAAATGTCCACATTTTATAAATGGGAAAACTGGCTATGAGCAAATAATACATCCAAAAATCAAGTCCAGAAGTAGGATGTTGTAGTGAACACTCAAGGCATTAGAATGTGGATCGTGACTCTAGTAGAATATGGAGGGATAGGTAAAGTGTTAGTACACTGCTTTGTAGCCAACTCGTCTCACCAGTGCTTGGAAAAATACAGGATATTTTGAGAATTCACACTCCCTTGCCTGAACACTACTGCCATATGCATCTTTACTCCACCATTTAGATCCATGGTGTCCAACACATTAGCCACTAGCCACATGTGGCTATTTGGTGTGTTGAGTGTGGCTAGTTCAGTGGTTGGACACTAAAGATTTAGATGAACACCCGATGATGCGGGTAACTACAGATATATATATATATATATATATATATTTCTATGTGATGGTGTAATACAGTGGTCTCTGCATGATTGAATCACATAATTCAGATTAACCTGATCGCATCTGAACTCTTCTGTTAATTGCTTGTAAATTCCAGGTACACTATTGATCAAGCACAACTCAAAAGAGCTTACACGAGAAAAACAAAGTCATATACATTTTCTTCATATACATGTCCATCAACAATTGCCAACAAACTTAGATTCCATCAGACTCTAAAAATAAATGAGCCTTGTATTACCCACTGAAGATCAACAGATTAAGGCTCTGATGGACCCCCAAGTGGAGTTCACTCCAGAAGCAAAGGTCCTCTCCTCACCCATGGAAGTCCCTCTGTCACTACTGCATCTGAAGCAGCACCAAGTGTTTAAACTTAGTATGGAAAACAATTATCTCCTTTCAGATTTTAAATGCTGTAGGCTTAAATGATGTAGGTTGAAAAATGTTGCCAATGCAAGGGCACTTAAGGACCTGAAGAACCACTTTGAGTAAAGTAGCATAATATTGCAATTCAGTTTGTCTGCACTTTAGTTCTAAGAGATCACCACCACCACCACGTGGCAGCTAAGAGAGTTACTCCAGTCTAACATTTGTTCCCAGATTGTGATTGTCATGATTTGGCCAAGTACTACATCTGCCTAATTTTCTATTTCTCAGCTCCTTCAATCAATTCACATTTAAGTATCAATCAGAAAACCAGACAAAAACTTGCATATGTAGTATCTGAGACAAAGTGCAAAACAAATTAGGTGGCATAGAATCACGGATAATGTAATTTAAATCAATGTTTAAATTTTAAAAAATGTTTTCAATTCTTTACTTTCACCCAATTTTATAATTTCAGTTCCTGAAGTGGATATATGATACTTTGTTCCTTTAGTTTCCCATTAACAGTAAAAAAGCCATCTTCTATGTAAAATCTGGAATTCTACTAGTCTCATTTAAAATATTCTTCTATGCCGAAAAACTCAACTCCAAGGCCCAATATTATGAGAGCACCTCAAGTTCATACAACATGGATTAGCAAATAGCCTGTTGCAAAAAAATTGCAACGAGCTCCCCTTCCAGTGCTACCTCTAACTTCCCCCATCCTGAGCAGAATGAATTTTCTTATATACGTCAATGCGGAGGTGATATGCAAAACATCATCTTCATCTTAAACTCCGCAAGGGAGGTTCAGGCTGGACATTAGGAAAAACTTCCTAACTGTCAAGGTGGTTAAACACTGGAATAAATAGCCCTGGGAGGTTGTAGAATCCCCATCACTGGAGATATTTAAGAGCAGGTTGGATAGACATCTGTCAGGAATGCTCTAGATGGTACTGGGTCCTGCCATGGGGGCAGAGGACTGGATTTGATGACCTCTCGAGGTCCCCTCCAGTTCTAGGTCTCTCAAGGTCTCTTCAAGTTCCAGAATCTAGTTCTATGATTCATATCGGTGCACATAACAAAAGTCACGTGGCGGGAGTGGGGCCAATGGGTTATGTGTGTGGAAGGGAGCTCAAGGCTGCGCAGAGTTGGGGTGGAGGAGTGTGAGAACTCTGGCCTGGGATGCAGGCTCTGGGATGAAGGGCTCAGGGCTAATACAGAGGTTTGGGCCGCAAGGGCTCTGGCTGGGGGGGTAGGCTCAAGGGTGGAGCTGGAGTTGAGGGGGTAGGAACATAGAAGAGAGGCTCCAAATTTGGGAGGGGCTCAGGGGATGGTGTGCAGGAGAGGGTACAGACTCTGGACTGGGGGGTGGGCTTTGAGGTGCGGCCCTGGATAAAGAATTTGGGGTGCAGGAGGGTGCTCGTGGTTGGGGGCAGTGCTTCGTCAGCTACCCAGCTGATTAACAGAGCACCCACAACTGACAGCATGTGTTTCTACTGATGGTGCACATCTGCACAAATGCCTTGGTGCACATAAAATTTATTCAGCACATGGGTGGAAAAAATTAGCGGGAACACTGCTGGCCAGGCAGGACTCAAGGTGGTGTAGAGGGCTGGAATTCAGGCTTACCCTGGTGGCTCCCTGCTGGAGTTGGAGAAGAGGGGTCCCTTTCCCCAGCCACAGGTGGCCCCTGGCTGTCCCCAGCAGCTTGGAGCTGGGGATGGATTGAAGGGTCTTCTTCTCAGGCCCGGCAGCTTCAGGGTTTGGAAAAAGTTTTCTCCCTGCTGCAGCCCTATGCAGGCTTAATAGCCCCTGAATGGGAGCTTACTGGGAAACTGAGACTATGCAGCTTCCAATATACTCAATTTTCATAAATCAAGAAAGCTGAAATTCTGAGATTATGCTCTTTTAGGCTTGCCTTAGGAAGTCAATGGGACTGGTCCTCATATGTCACTAGGTGCTTTTGAAAATTCCACAATTAAGTGCCTAAATATGGGATGGAAAACTCTGGCCTATCTATATAAAAAGTTCATAAGTTTGTTAATACAGGCAGTCCCCGGGGTTACGTACAAGATAGGGACTGTAGGTTTGTTCTTAAGTTGAATCTGTATGTAAGTCGGAACTGGCGTCCAGATTCAGCCGCTGCTGAAACTGACCGCCAGTTCTGACTTAC